CTCGGGTTCGATTCCCGGGGGTGCCCGAATTTATAACTTGTGTTGGGCAAGTCCGTGGTCTAGGCAACACGGAGTTTTCCTCCGTTGCATCCCAACAATTACTCCATTCACACACAGACGAAGGCAATGGCAAACCACTTCTGGATCATCTGCCAAGAACGTATATGAACAGGTCCCAGTCCGAGAAAAGGATGGAAGGATCCTGTTCATATAGACCTGTCGTCAGACAGAACACTAAATAAATAATAATAAAACAATTATACAAACCCTACGTATGACTTCCTAAAAAAAATACATAAAAATGTTCTCCGTAAACCAGATTTCCAACCACATTACTTGTTTTTGATTTTATTCTTTGAGGGTGACAGCTCTGTTTATAAATTGGTTGCATTTCTGATGTTTCGGAGAACCTAACTATCTGCTTCTTCAAGGAGAAGTTGCGACCCCACAGCCCTCACCAATAGACCTATACTAAGCGTCTATTGATTTGACGTCTAGTGACAGTCAATATAAAAGTCAGGCAGGGAAACATAAATGTGGTAAAGAAACAGATTATTCGTGCCACCGACTTCAATTTTGGTGAATTAGGTTAGGTTATAAGCTTATATACAGTGGTGGGGGAGGCACGAGAAAACCATACAATAAGAAACTTCAAAGTTTGTACTCTTCACCAAATATTATCAAATTGATCAGATCAAAGAGGATGATATTGGCGGGGAATGTAACGGCGATGAGAAATTAGTCAAAATTTTGGTTCGGAAGCCTCAAGCAAAGAGACTACTAGGAAAACCTGGAAGTAGATGAGAGAAAATATTAAAATGGATCTTGGGAACAGGTTTTGTGGTGTTGATCGATTGATATGGTTAAGGCTGTGGACCTGTGATGAACTCTTGTAAAACACGGTAATGAAATTTCCAGTTCCTTACGAATCAGGGACTTTCTAGAATAACTGTGCGAACTGTTACATTCTCAAGGACTCTACTTCATGAAATTAGTTATGAAATTACACTCACAAATGAGTTCTATATTTCTCACATACTAGATAAATCAAAATATTAAATATTTCACATTTTCTCAGTCTGTTCGGCCAAACTGATCTACATCTTTCTTGAGTTCCTCATTTGGACTCGCCTGAATTTTGTTTCAGTGACAAACATAGCTTTAAAAAGTTAAATCTACAATTCCTATTAAATATTAAAATATTACCATAATTAACATTTAAATATTTAAAATATATTAAATGATATTCTCTATCGAAATGTTCGATTTACATTAGAATATCACTTTTTACACGACATGTTTCAGTTCTAAAAGAACCATCTTCAGGTGTATAAAATTATATAAACTTAAATATAATTTAAATATAATTTATAAAAAGTTGCATTTAAGAAATTATATTTAAGTTTGTATAATTTTATACACCTGAAGATGGTTCATTTAGAACTGAAACATGTCGTGTAAAAAGTGATATTCTAATGTAAATCGAACATTTCGATAGAGAATATCATTTAATATATTTTAAATATTTAAATGTTAATTATGGTAATATTTTAATATTTAATAGGAATTTTATTGTGATTAGACTGACAAGATTTAAACAAATATATATTTATCACAATATGACGCAACTTTATCATCTCTTAAATCTACAAATTTTGATAATTTCATGATCGACTTTCAAACGTATTAAGGGCGGTCCACCCTGTCTGACAAATAATTCCTTTCGCACCTCCTCATCCTTTGTCTACAGGTCTCTTTTTCTTGTCCCCCGTTCTCAATCTCTGTAAGCGGGACGGGGGGGGGGGATTTCCCACGCAATACCTCATCAAAAGAAAACTGCTTCTCCAAATTATAAACTTCAATTAATTAGTGATTAATGAGAAAGTTTTGGAGAAGTTAAAGGAAAAGTAAATAAGATATAAATTAGTTCATTATCTAAGATTGTGTATGGGAGGTCAGGCCTAATTGTTAAAACTGAAACACAGTTTAAAAAGTCTAATAAAATATACAGAGAAGTTACTCTCTCACGATAAGGGAAGAACAAATATTAAGAATGTTAGATGACTCGGTCCTAAGAGGGACGAATTAACAGGAGACTGAAGAAAACTGCGTAATAAGGAGCTCCGTTATGTTGTACTCGTGACCAAATCGAGGAGAATGAGATTGGATAGGCACGTGGCACGTAGGACAGATGAGAAATACGTTCTACGTTTTTGTTCAAAAACCTGGTGGGAAGAGGTCACTTGGAAGACCTAGGCGTAGATGGGAGGATAATATTAAAAAGTATGTGAGTGTGAATGCTACCTTGGAGGTCAAGGGCCCATTATGTGTCCTGGAGGTTCCAGGCCCGAAATTCATAGCAAACATGTTTTAAGATTTCCACAGAGCAAGACAATTAAAGAGGAAACGCCTCTGACTTGTAATCGATAAGTACCCGGTTTGAATCTCGGTCCACATTCCGTCTACCCGGGAATTTTCGTGATTTTCCTCGTTAATTGTACGTTTATGCCGAGATATTATTCATTCTAGGGAAATTTAAGGGTGGAGTACACAATTTTCACTACCCCCCTCCACCGTTTCTCAAATCTGTTGGAAAGTTTCGATTGAATGTACTACCACTATCTTCAGGGCTAAAGTCCCAGAAAACGGAATCGGTACGTTCCTCTGAAACGTTGGTAATTACCTACGAGACTACACGGCGTTAGAACCCAGCAACATATTTACCGCCGTGAGAACCTGAAATCGCAGATAGGGCCTACTAGATGAAATTTCGAAATAATATCAAGAAATGGTCCCTCTCGCCCACTTTAATCAACTGCAAGTGGTCACTGCTGCTAAAGGCTTGCCAGTTTAGATACTTGGATCAGAGTCGACTTTAAACAGTCCTACTAACTCGAATATTACCATAGTTCGGATATTTTAACAGTTTATACGAATGCAATATGTGTTAGACATGATAAGTCTCACTGAACAAGTTTCATTATCAAAGAATGTGACGTCGCAAAATGCTACAAATAAAAAAGAGCGCTTACCAGTTGCAGCCTTGTTGTTATGTTATCCCGGGAAGCAGGACTTAGGCGCGGGGAGCGGCGAGGCGAGGAACAGAGCTCCGGAGACAAGGCCTGTGAGACAGGGCGCACCTTGCCAAGACCTTCTCTCACGTAAGAAAGAGAGGACGGCGTCTAAACAAAGCAAGGAAAAAAAACACACTGAGCCAGTCAGGTAAACAAGCACTCAGAATATTTACATTTTATTTCTACCAAATGTTCCTGCAACTCTTTATCTGTTAAGACAAACATTAACATTCACAAACATGCAGCGATAATTTCTCGAAAAAAAAAAGTACGTTTTATCATTTACGTGCTGTTAAAACGATTCAGGAAACTCTTGGTAGTGACGCCGGTTTAATTGATTTTAAAACCACTCATGCTTCTATGTAACGATATTACGACTCTGCAGAACTTGAAAATTGTATTTTATATTCCGTTGTAGATGTGCCCCATAAAAACAAACAGCTTTCACTGATCGCATCCCCTACTGAATTCTCTCACGCACCTACTACAATACACCGAAAACCGATCATCAACAGAACTCAGGACTTCCAGATCGTAATCAGCAACAGAACTCAGGACTTCCAGATCGTACGACAGTAGTTTTGAGGCGAAATAGCTGGTTTCATAACAACCAGTGCAGTCACCGAATCACCAACTCTGCAACCCAATACTAATCACCAACACAGTCAAAGTCTGACAGCTCTGTTAACACGTAACAGAAAGTTAATAAATGAGTCATTAAAAACACGTGTTGCCAGTTTCCTACTCAGACAATAAATTTACTATTCCTCCATAAAATATCAATAAGGTGGCGTGACCTTTCACTCAAACTTATAAACGTTAATCCAGCCCACTCAATCAACATTTACCTATCAGCAATTCTACCAATGTTATTATTTATCGGACAAGTCTGACTTCAATCCGAAACAAATCAACCAGACTGTCGCTTAATAAAGCAGCCAACGTGTTAATCACTTATTTTATGCATTAGATTATTTAAAACGCTCAGTAAATGAAAGTAAGCTATACAATAACGTGTTAGAGAATCATTATTCAATGCAATCAGCCAGTTAATTAGGCAGAAAGCAATTAAACAGGAAACTAGACAGTTAATCTGGCGTTTATTCAATAAAATAGTTAGTCTGAGAGCCAGTCATTAAGTAAAAGTCATTTAACATGAGACATATATTTGATGGATCAAACAGTCTACAGCCAGGTAATATCAGACATCGACCAGATACTCTGTTAATCAGTCAGCCAGTTAATCAATCAATCAGAGTGACAATTACGGAGCAACACAATCAGCGGCGTATCCAGTTACCCGATAACAATTAAATTATTTAATCATCTAGACTGTAGATGACTTGAAATACATGTATTTCGAACAAATTTGAAAATTTCAATTTGGTGATGGGAATTTTTAAACTTCGTCGTCTCTCAGAGCATCAGACGTCGCTTTCCTATAAAAACTTCCGTCCACCTCTTCAGATAACTTGTCCCTCCACTTCAAACCTCGTCATTCGTCCAACTAGCTTCGCCCTCAGACTGCGTACACAACTCACCATAAATATTTACTCTAATCATTTGCTTACCCTCTTATAGGGCACACGTCATCTAAAGATATTTTTATTTATATGTTTATTTATACAGGGGTTGATTTATTTTATTAATCTTAGCCTCCAGACAGAGTGCACAAAGAGAGAAGTATTAAGAATAAATTCTCCACCTAACACAATGACAGAATAGAAACAAATACACCACGAGGAGCGTTGTAGTTTTGTTAGAGCAACAAGAAATTAGCGGAATAGAAAGTTCATTAGAACCCAAACAAAATATTTCTCGTAAAATAATCACAGTGGGGGGGGGGAAAACTTTGAAAATGTAGGCCCAGAAGTAAAGATAACATTAATATGAATCTCATTAAATAAAACTGTGAATATATAAACCTCGATTTTAACTGAGCTGCTGTGTGGTCAAATGATAACATGAAAATCTTAGGGGCTACATAAAAACCGGAAACATTAAAACATATTTTGGTTAGATTTCAGGTTATCTCGGCGGTGATAATGAAGTTGACTGTCTTCCAGGATTTAGCGCGTACTCGTTTACCGACGTTTCAGAGGTGCTTATTGCCTCTGTCGTCAGTGCGATGAGTCTTATCCCACCGTCCTGATGCCTGGTTTAAAACCAAAAAATATCCACACTCTCCTTTAATGTTTCTTTGACATTTTATAATATTTCATACAATGTTTGTTTTGGTTTTGTGCCTGTAACTTATAGGCCTCTTGAAATCACTAACCTATTTTATTTCAACAATCCTACATCCCCTCAAGAAACAGATCTGTCAGAGTACTAATTATTTCACATGCCAAAATTACGTCATAATAAAATAATTAAATCACAAGCCCACATATAGTCCCGTCCCGTTCCGCGCATCAAATCATACGCAGAAACACACATTTCTCGTTGACTGTCAACTTGTTCTATAACAATTACTGTAGAAACACTTGCTTTGAGGGTTACCCCATACTTGAATATAATTGAATTTTATCCCCCGTATGATGAGACAGGTAGCTTATTGTTACGTTGTAAGTAAATAATGTAAGAGCGGGCCATATGCTTTGTGCTGAATTACGCAAAGGGCTTCACAGCACTTAGGAGCGCGTTAATTTGGGTAAGAGCTTCTTACATGTTGTTATAACTAACAAGTAAGTGCATCCATCCTGGTGTGTGTTTAGTTATGCCACATATGGATCCTTCTCGTTGTTTAACGTCTCACTAGTCGCAAACATGGTAATGAAAGTGCAGACTGAAGACTTGCCTCATGCATTCGCCGACGTATACTAAAGTTAACTGCCACCTTCTAAGACCCCAATATTTATAGATGCACACCCTGTAACATTAACACCTGATTTTTATATGGGACTGAAACGTGGCCTCATATTGGGAAGTTCATACGCCAAATATTAAGGAGATCAAATTAGCCATAAGATGGTTTCTACGTGGTATAAATAAAAAATACATACAACATTTTAAGCGGGAAACCTGAGGGAAAGAATATGCTGAAGATGGAGGCGGTATGTTCCTTCAAAACGTTGGTATCTACCTACAAATACACACAGCCTTAAAATTCAGAGGACTAACATTGACATCTTTACCGCCGTGAGAATCTTAAATCTCATATGTTATGAAAAGTATCTTTGTCTTCCTGTAGAAAGAAGTGTCTGTGTGTACTTGCTCAAGAACCAGGTACTATGACCCCATTACTTTCAGGTCTACTGGTTTTATGTAGCACGGGTGAGAAAATAAAAAATACAAGGGACAAATTTGTTGCAAATCTTCATTGAAAATTACCATTAGTGTGAAATGTAGAGAAATGCTTTGTGAACAGGGTGTGATGTCTCTATGGGGAAGAAAGTTAACAATAACTAACTAACTAACTAGATGGCTTACGGAACCCGAAGGTTCATCACCGAATTAACCAAAGCCCTCCACCGGACCCTGCCCT